CTAAACACCCGCCGCGTTCGAGCGGACCTTTTTCTTCTTTACCACTCATTTTCCAAGGACACGGCCAACCAGTTTTTCACCCCCTGTAGCTTAGATACTCTTCGTGGTCGCAGCAAAAAGTTGTTTAAGCCTCGGCCCCGCACCCGAGTTGGTCACTGGTTCTTTACCCATAGAGTCATTCCTTTATGGAACAGCCTTCCGCAGGAGGTTGTTGACGCAACTTCAAAGAGCATGTTCAAACACAAGCTCGATATCTTCCTTGGTCTTAAACACGCTACCACCAACTTCCATTACTTACTCCCTTTCGATCTGTTCATCTACCTCTCCATCCACCACGTTCTCCTTTTTAAATGCATTTATCCCGACTGCATTGAGTCAATTTTTGTTATTTATTTTTGTGCATGCAAAAAACAAAATGAAAACGTAAAAAAAAAACAGAAAACCTTTTTGAAAGCTGTGTCATAAATTTCCTTAGTATCTCTAATCGTGCATTATGTCAAGTTTTACTTACGTGCATGTAAAATTGTATTTACTATCCAGATGCGCATATTTGTGCACAGCAAGCAGATACTGCACCCCTCCCCTCTCCCCTTGCAATTACCTGAATCCCCATCTCAGTCACCCTCACTAGCCCTCACCCGCACATCTCGTCAGCGGCATTACCCATCAATCGAAAACCGACAATTTTCCAAGATCCGGGATCATTGGGCTTAACCTCGAACCAGTGAAATACTTCAAGACTTCTTTTCGCTGTCCGGGCTCTCTCGCTTGTTCAGCATGTTCATGTGCCTACACGGATAGTTGGGGATCACAAATACGTCCTTGACTTAGTGCTCTCTTACCGAGGCAACCAGATGCTACCAGGATTGACCTCCTTCCACCGATTGCATCTAGTGATCACTCCGTTCTGCGTATACACTTCATGCATGGCGTACCCCAAACGGACAGAGCATAGGACGGACGGAATGTGTGGAGCTCATCCTTTCCGGAAATGCGCCAGGCTGCATCGCTCATAAATTGGGATTCCCGAAACCCTGAAGATATGGATGAATCCTGGGAGTTGGTTCGTCATGGAATCCATCACCTCGTGCTGAAATTCTCTCCACCCCACCGCCACCGAACACGCTATGGGCCCGCCGTGGTTTGATCGAGAATGGCGGGCGTGCCTCCGGCAGCGGAATAAAGCCTGGTCCAGGTACCGTACAACAGGCGCAGGATATGAGGAATATCGAGGTATTCTGAATCATTGTACTGCACTGAAAAAATGCAAGGGAACCAGATTCGAGGAACGACTCGCAGCGGATTCTGTACAGGCACCAAAGGGATTATGCCTACCTCAGGCAAAGAATCAGCACAATGCCTGGTCTTCCGAATCTCGCCAAAGATGGGGCACTAGCCGAAAATGATGAGAACTAAGCGGAGATGCTGGCATCACATTATGCCTCAGTGTACATCCCAGACTCCAGCACATTGGCACATTCACTGGGCGTTGACACTGCCCTGAACTGGACTCCATTTACCATCGGAGAGGAGGCCCTGGAGCTGCATCGGCTAAAGGTTCACCAGTCACCTGGACCTGATGGTGTACATCCGCTGGCAGATGAACTTGCAGTGCCATTGTGTAACCTATTCAATTTGTCATTCACATAAGGGCGTTTACCGCGTCAGTGGAAGGATGCTATCATTGTTCCACTACCCAAAGGTGGGGATAGGAGTGACCCTGGAAACTACCGAACAGTCAGCCTTACTAGTATTGTGGGTAAAGTAATGGAGCAACTGGTGGCTGCACGGTTTCGGCAGCATTTGGTATGCCACGGTCACCTGTGCCACCAACAACACCGTTTCCGGCCGGGTCGCTACTGATCCGTGAATGCTGGACCGAGGACAAGACCAAAGAACACGAACCGGACATCATCTTCGTGGAATTCAGCAAGGCCTTCGACAAGGTGCCGCACGACCGCCTTCTGTGAAAGCTGTCCAACCTCGGTGTAGGTGTCGTCATGCTGAATTGGCTGCGAGACTTCATCATCGACCGGAAATTCTGCGTCCGTGTTGGCAAATCGCTATCTGCGTGGTATTCCGCTCCCATTTGGGGTCCTCCAAGGCTCGACTCTTGGTCCATTGCTCTTTGTGGTTAATGTGAACGACCTGCCCGGTCAACTGTGCAGCTCATCCCTTATGTATGCGGATGAAATCAATATCTGACGTACAATCGAGAGTGCAGATAATCGCATTACTCTTCAAGCGGATTTGAACAGCCTGGCTCAGTGGGCGGACACCTGGGCTCTTCCAGTCAACACTGCAAAGTATGCTCACCTGCAATTGGGGCGTGCTGACTCAGGGGTAGTCTACAACTTCCAGGGAATCACATTGCGCAGAACATCTTGTGAAAGAGACCTGGGAGTTATGATTACGTCATCAATAAAGACCCGAGAAAACCGATTGGGTCTGTGCAAGCGCGTGGAGCATTCTGGGGCCTATTCGGCGGTCTTTCAACCGGCTCACGATGGACGCTTTCAGATTGCTGTACGCTTCCCATGTCAGACCAAGACTTGAGTATGGTGGTGCAGCGACGTACCCCTGCACAGTCGGTGAATTGGCTAAGTTGGGGCATGTACAACGTGCTGCCACTAGACTCGTCGTTGGACTACGCGGGACCAGCTATAAAGGTTGTCTACAGGCTACTTCTCTGTTCCCAGTTGCATATCGGCATAGGAGATCCCATCTGTCTGAGGAAGATCCCGAGAGGNNNCGAGAGGTGATATGAACCGGGGTTTCAGCAGTATTTCTCTTTACGGAGAAAGGACCGCACGCGGGGGCACTCTCACTTTGCGGAAACTTCAGTCAGTTGGTCTTCCGTTAGTCCACCGACTCTCACGGAAGTCAACAACACTCTGGAATTTCCTTCCAGCGACCGTGGTGGAGAAGACAGACGGTGCTTTCAAACGGCGTCTGGATGAGCACCTTAAGGGGCTATGGAGGAACGAACACCTGTGATCGGACCGTCGACCCAGTGGTGATGGGGCTTACACGGCCACTCTGCCCTCAATACTGAAGACTACCGTTTCAAGCATTCTGGCCTGATAAGAAATGACAACAAGAACGCCACTGCTATCGGTTCTCTGCNAACGTCTCCAACCAACCAGTTGCGGAGTCTTTCGGACCCCAATCTGAAAGGGACGTGACACCTACTCTACCTAATGGTTCTGTGCATTTCTTCCTGCCTCGTTTCCACGTCATCTGTTCGTCTTTACGTGGTTTCCTCCAGCCCGGAGCGGCTACAGTGAATAAGGTGCGATGTTGTAGACGGTAGCTGGGCCTACCGTCCTAATCAAAAGTATTGTATAGATTCTACTCACGACTCTGAAATCAGTGAATTATTCGTTTGTATAATGGTTCTTAATGTGGTATACAACTGAACAAATTAGTGTTTTTGGGACCCTTTTCTTGAAGCTATACAGTACTTTGAATTATGGCTGAAATAGATTGACAACCTTGAAGTTCGTTTTACTTTATTGCGCTGTGTAATATGACTAATAGTAAGCCGAATCATGCAGTTCAAGTGTTTCCAACGTATATCCCCTCATTTGTTCTACAACCTTAAGGCTATTAACACTTCTGCAGAGTTTTGTTCTATTTGGCAGCCTGAATCGAAACCCGTGATACAATCGTTACTTACGAACTGTGAAAACCAATGTCCATCGCATAGGATCCTATATTGTCAGTTTCCTTTTTGAGGTTAGATTATACCACCTCAATACTTTCTTACTGTTTCAATTTACTTTCAGTTCATTTTCTTTACTTTATGAACTACGCTGCAAAAGTAATCAACGGCAGTCTACGTTATCGGGCTATCAGAGCCTTAGAGTCTATTCTAAGGATTTCGCCAAAATGTCAGGATGGAACTCCATTCATAGAAGCTGGAGATGATGAAACCACGCTTGAATCTAGCGTTGCTGCACGGTTAAGAAAACATCCCTTCTTTTTATCACTTCCTGCTTTGACATTGCCCTCCCAGCTGGATAGGGCAGCCATTAACTATTTACGTGAACATTCACTTTCCTCACCGAAGGCCATCGAAGATCGGGCAGAAATGCTGGGATGCTATCTGTGGTCTCGACAATTAATGACAGAGGTTGGTTCGACATTGTCAGTACTTGCTCTATGATCATAATTTATGGTACCTGCGTATTTTTTAAAATTTCTGTCGGTTCATTCAAAAATGAACATAATTGTAGCACCTCTTAACGGAAATATTTATTCATTTTATTTGTTACAAATGGTCTGGTTGGTTTTCAACTTTTTTATTACACGAAAGTGAATACAGTAAAAGGGGTAACCCCCATGATCCGAAGATATACTGTAAGTGGGGAGGTATGGGAAACATTCCAGCTAGAACCAGCTTGTTGATTCTGCGTTTAAAAACTTGGATGTTGTACGTTGGAGGGAAGACCGAAAGGGAGAGAGTGTTCCACAGTTGTGCTGTTCTTGGGAAAAAAAGATGATTGAAAGTTAGCAATGCGACACCTGGGGATAGTCACTTGAAGTGGGTGGCTATCCGCTTGTGCGCGGAATCTACGAAGAAGAACAAGTGAGAGAGGGACAGATGCGGAAAATTCATCAGAGCAAAGTCCTAAGTAGTATTGATAGAACAAAGATGAAGAAGCAACTGCCCGACGGTGAGCTATTGACTGCAAGTTGGATGTTAGGGACGGATAGTTGATGAGACGGATGGCCTTACGTTGTACCCAATCAAGAAGAGATAGTGGGCTAGACGAAGCTTCACCTCACACATGACTGCAGTATTCAAGTGCAGGGGGAATCTGAGCTTTGTAAAGCGAGAGGAGGTGAATGGGGGTGAAGAAACGTCTGGCGCGAAAGAGAATCAATTTTGCGTGCAGCGCGGGATACAAGTAGACAAATATAAGGTGATCATGAAAAAGGAGATAAGGAAAGACCCAATAGGTTGCATAATTCTGTGGAACGAAGAGTGTTCAAGTTGAAATTCAAGGAAGGGGAGAAAGATGTGTGTTTAAGAGAAATGGGCATAGGGGAAGTTGTACTGGCGTTGAAGAGAACACGGTTGCTACAGCCGCAGATCAGAATCTAGGGAGAAACTAATGGAGGAGCGATCGTCACTAATGCTGGAGTTAGCGATGCGCAAAGAGGAACATGAAAGAGAAGAGTGTAGAATAGCATCATCGGTAAAGGCGTGAATAGGATTTGAAGTTGAAGAAAGAAGGTCATCAATAAATATCAGAGAAAGGGAAGGGGAAAGTACAGAACCTTGGGGAACACCAGCATTCACATACACGAAACGAGACATGGTCCCATCTACTCTGACGGAGACGCTGCGGTCCTTGAGGTAGCTTGCTATCCAGGACACAAGTTCCGAAGGATAGCCAAACTTGGGTAGTTTAACCAGCAAACAGGCGTGCCAGACACGATCGAAAGCTTTCGATACATCCAATGACACCGCATGGGTTTCCCCGTGGTTGTCGAGTGCCGCTGACCATGTATGCGAAATGAGCGCCAGAAGATCACCGGTAGATCGATGTGATCGGAAGCCGTACTGGCGGTCGCTAAGCCTATTGTTCTGCTCCAAGTGGTGGCGGAGTTGATCAGAAACAACTGATTCCATTACCTTCGAAATGACTGGTGTGAGAGAAATGGGGCGGTAGTTGATTAGATCAGAGTGGTCGCCGCGTTTGGGGATTGGAAATATTTCTGATAATTTCCATGGGGTTGGGAATATTTCGGAATTTAGAGATAGACGGGATAAGCGACGTAGGAGGGGAGCCAGTTCTGGGGTGCACATTTTGGGGACAATAGAAGGAATCCCGTCGGATCGGGGTGGCTTGTGTGGGTCCAGCGACAAAAGGATCTGACGTATTTTTCTGGTGGAAATGAGCGGTGTGAAAAGATGGTTTGCCGTAGGGTGTATGCAGGGTTGAATGGGTGATTCGAAAAAGGCAGAATTGGAAGCAAATTGGGAAGCAAACACTTCTGCTTTTTCCGCCGGGTCGGATGCTATGTCACCGGATGGTTTGACAATGAGNCAGAAGTTACCGGAGTTTGTCTTTAGCGAGTGACCAGAACGTCCGGCTTCCGGAAGGAGCGATCGCCAATTGTGCTGTTTTGCGCTCAACAAAGTTCTCTTTAGCCTTCTGTATGATGGTTGTACACTTGTTACGTGCTAACAAAAGCCATCGGCGGGAGCTGGGGGGAGGTGACCGACGCCAGCGGCGGAACGCTGAGTTCAAATAATTTGCGGTGGTACTGACTCGGATGACGTAAGAGCCGTCTACCACTCTGCTTTCAATGCAGTAAATGAGGTAAACTCCGCTATTAATCACTCAATCAAACCAAAGGAGGCAACTGATCGAATGAAGACTTCATTTCAATTCATTTACCCAAGAGTGCAGACACGATTAAGCAAATTCAACAGAGTTTGGATTTAGAATTTTCAGTAACATGATCGGCGTTAGCCAGACCACGTGCAAGGTACGGTATTACAGAAGACATGTACGTTGTACTACAGGCTGCTGTCTGCTTATACTTGGAGCAATTGGTAGATGTGGAGATGAATTTGCTAAAGAGTTGGTGAAGATGCTGGGGTGGGTCCTGGCCGAAGTTTCTGGAAAGCATCAAAGTGCTGCGAAAATAAAAACAGTTTACTAAATTCGCAAGATATGCGACCGTATCGATATACGTGTTTGGTGGATCTAGGTATGCGTTCGAGAGATCAGGAACAATAACAAGGGATCTATGAAGGAAGTAGGGAAGGTTGAGGTGCATAGCATCTTCAGGCGGATAAGTCAAAGATGAATTTTCTGAATTTGTGAAATTTCCCGGAGGTATGAGGAGACCAAGAAAGATCACGAAAAATGGTAAATCCCAAGTAGTTGACGGGGCACTTTCTGGAAAGTTGTTCTCCGTTGATAACGATGCGCTGGTTAGAGTTCATCAGATCAATGTGTTTATCAACCTTCAGCAAAGGAAAATAATTCCGTAAATTTTAAGGGATTAATACCAAAGTTGTGCGACGATTGTGTTGTTTGAATACTCGACTTCCGAACAGATGTGATATTGGCCACCATTATCCCGGTAATCGATAACCATTAATAACCTAGGAATGGTGCCCACATGAATACATTGCACTCTTGTGTTTTCGGGTGTTAAATAGCTCATTGGTTCACGAAGTACTGCATTACATTGTTCTCCTTATCCATCTTTCAGTCAAATTTTCTTTGAGAGCGGTCTATTGCAGTGTGCGATCGTGATCGCTGGTTAGCGCACATGTACTTCCGTGGTGCGTACCCCCTCCCCCCCGCAATTAGTTGCCAAGCAATAGTGTTTTGTTTTCCATTTATTTGCTAAACAGTAAATGTATATATCATATTCAGTGAGGGGTCCGCAGCCAATCAGATGTAATCATATTAATGAATAGGTGGAATAAACTAACCTACCGAAACCTCTTAATTATTGCAGTCCGGTGTAGTTCAAAGTAAACGCAGTGAAAATGGCGATGCTCTGTCAATCGGTTCCACCGAAGAAGTCGATCTAGACTTGGCAGAGGCAATTCGCTATCACAATCCCGACGCGTTAACCAAGATGCGGTCTGGAGCTGCGCAAAAGGTCCAAGCTGAAAGCTTAGAACAGTGGAAATCGTTAACGTGAGTTAAAATAACATGTAATTAGCACCTTGTTTTCGTATGTGCAGTGTCACTTATCATTCATCAGTTTTTTCTAATTAAACGAAACGCAATATGGTGACAGATGATTTTTGACTTATGCATGGATAGCTCAGAAGTGGCTAAGCGGTTAGGTCACCAAATTAGGATCCGGAGGTCCCGGGTTCGAACCACTCCACCGCCGCCCGTCTTCTCTATTTCCGTATTTCCCTTGGCAACCTTTCTGTGGCCTCGGCCCCCTTCCTGAAAGTTGACTGTACATTTGTATAATCAATAAATAAGAAATAAGTAAAGACATTTTAAGTTGAGATCTAATATCGACATTTGTAACGCTGCTGTGGTGGGATATCGTCAAGAGTTTGAATGATGCAATTTTTACGGTACGATTTCGAAGTCAATATAGCCATTATTTATTATCTACTCCTGTTTTCTTTTACTTTACTTTGGCTTCCGAGAGAGGATAAACCGGCTTCATGGATATCTCGAACTGCCGCTGCCCACGCTCGGCGATCTGCGGCAAGATCAGCGCAGATTGTGATCTAGCTTGACTTCCATTGACGAACGTCGTAAACGGAACGAAGATCAAGGTTTTCAGTGTCCTTTCGTACCGTGTCGAACCAGGTTTTCAGCTGTCCACCGTGTCGACAGCGCCAGTTCGGGCTCGGAGGTGGTTTCAAGACAGCTTTGGTCAGGTTGTTATCAGACCTACGAAGAATGTAACCAAACCATTGTAGTCGCCGCCGTTGTATTAGCGTCCGCAGCTATACAAGATTAAAACACCGATTTCTGACCGCTTCATTTGAGAGTTGATCCCTCATCGTACTCCCAGAATGATTCTTAAGCACTAGCGATCGAAGACTTCTAATCTGCGATAATCTTCCACTCTAAGTGGCCAGATTTCGCAGCCGTAAGGCAAGACAGGACGGACTGCTGTGGAGAAAACTCGGATTTTTGTCTTGAGGCTGATTTCACTTCTACGCCAAAGGGGAGTCTCCAGCTGTAAAGTGCCCTTCTTGCTGCATCGACGCGCACTTGTACCTTTTCTTTAGCTTGGCCGTTGGGGAGCATGGTTGAGTTTTTGAAGCTTTCGACGGATTCGATCGGCTGGTCAATTAGTGGTAAAGCATTTTCAGGATGAATCGGGACTGTCGCAAAGGTTTTGTTTTTTTATGTGTTCACCTCTAGGCCGATCTCGGGGGCCTGTCAACTGGCCGGTGAACGATTACTTGGAGGTTGGACATGTCCTCGCCAAAGACGACAATATCATCCGCAAATTCTAAGTCGGTGAGCCATAAGTTCGGAGAGATCTGATTTCATTCAAAACAACAGCTTGACGAAACAAGCTCGTTTTCAGTTATTCGTAATCATGTCATTACATAACATTAAATATGACTAACAATAAGAAACGAAACAGGGGATGAGAAATTCGAGTCCTAATGATTCAGCTGTGGCTCCAATCTGAACTCCCTGGTATCCTTCCATCGAACGACCCATTATCCAGTCAACGGCAAAGTTGAACAGCATTGGGGACAATGGACACTCCTGTCGCACTCCCGATCTTAACCCGAACGCACATGACTCCTCTCCGTAGATGCAGATTTGGTCGCTAGTGTTAGAATAGTAGGATCTCATTAAGTTGACAAGCGTAACTGGGACACCATCGGTCAGAACTATGTTCCAGAGGGATTAGCGATCTGCGTAGTTGAATGCCGCTCGAAATCAATGAAACAGACTGCTATGGGTTGTTGAAACTTGTGGCGATGTTCCAAGAGTCGACGTAGAGTGAATATTTGGTCAACGCAGCCCACACCGGGGCTGAATCCCTTCTGGTTAGGACGAGTGCGTGCGTGCCTTGTTGCAGCAAAGCGGTTCAGCAAAAGTTGTGCAAAACCTTGTCTGCCACGTCAAGTAACCTGATGCCTCTGTAGTTTTCGCACACTGATTTGTCACTCTTTTTAAGGAAAAGTAGTAAAATATGTGTGGTCAAGTCAGTTGGGCAAATTCCGGTTTCCCAGCTTGCACACAGTAAGCTATGAAGAGGGTTTAAAATGGCTGAAGAACACTGGGTACATTTCGGCGGGAACCCGTCATCACCGGGAGATTTCCATGGCTTGAGATGGCTGATGATATCTAAGACTTCTTGTACTGATGGCGGAGCGCAGTTAGCTTCGTATGGAGAAGATAGCGAGAAGAGCGCATTCGGAAGTTGGATTTGTGGGCGATTGAGAAGAAGACTAAAGTGTTCCACTCATCGAGACATTTTTCCCTACGTCTCAGAAATGAGCTGCGCAGCACAGAGTGAGTGACCTGTTTCTTGCCCGATGCTGATCGAATAAGTTGGAAGTGGGTCGCCATGTTTCCCAGGTTGGCTGCTCTCTCCATTTTTGTAGCCATTTCATTGCAATAGTTGCATCTGTCGTTTCTGGCTGATCGTTTTTCTTATCCTCTGAGATCGCGATAAGCAGAGGATTGAGCTAGGCGTGTCTCTGGCTGCATTAGCTAACTGGGTGGTGTGATCGGATATCCAGTGCCTAGTGCGTGTAGAGCAGCCTGTTGTATTGACGACTTCATCCTGGTCCACTGAGTTTCAACCGAACTCCCTGTGTTTCCTTGCGTACCCAAAGGATCGTTTGACAGCTGTGCAGTTATGCCCATCAGTGTCTGGCATTTCTCGCTGTTTTCCAGTGGAAACACATTTAGGCGTTTTGAGGGGACGGTCTTCCTGCGAGTTGTTTGATAGAGTCTTACTTTCGCGCGAACTAGTGATCAGATTCGCTTNTTTGTTCCCGTATTCAGCCCCGCGATGGAATCGATAGTCTTCAATCGAAGAAACCCATCGTGAACGGATAAGAACGTAATCTATTTGATGTGCTGTTCGGTCGTCGTTGGAGTACCACCTCAGAAGATGCTTTCTTGAATGTTGAAACCGCGTGTTGTTACTACACAATCGATTATAATCGGCGCAGCTGAATAGTCTGTCATCATTCTCGCAGCGCTGACCCAGGCCAAACCTCCCTAGGATGTGCTTCGTGGCCTCTTCTTGTGGGCCAGTTCGAGCGTTTCAGTCCCCCGCTATGACAAGTACATCCCGTTCGGGCACTTCATTAACAAGTACTTGAAGGCTGCCATAGGACTCATCCATGACGTTGTTGTCAGATGGGAGAGTCAGGGCTTAGACAGCGATTACTGCGAGGTTTGCCGGATGACCCTCGAATCGTGCTACCGCAATCCCAGAGGATATTGGTTTCCAAGAGAGTAAAGCACTATTAGCCCGATGGCTTAAAGCAAGTGCCACTCCGTGTTGACCCGACGTTTCGTTGCCCCTGTAATACAGCCAGTATTCGCTATCGATGCTAGGGATTTTGATACTTTTGGAGCCGGAGCCCGTCAATCTAACTTCTGATAGGCATGTAATATCCAGCTGATAGTCATGCAGTGCACCAATCGTTAGTGCCTGACTCCTGGCATCTAAGAGTGTTCTTACTTTCCAGCATCCAATGTAAGAAGTTCTGCGTAGTTTGAGGTGTCCAGTGCGCATACTTGCCACCCGAGCCNGAGCCACTGGAGGAGCACAGGGTGCATCGCTTCCCGGGAACTCCGTAGCATGATTACCAAAACAGGTTGAGTGAATATCCTTGAAATTTCTTGGAAGTTAGGTACAGGAGACATTCCCAGCATCACCCGGCTTTGGTTCGAGGTGGTACCTCTAGCTTTTGCACATCCAAGTGCTAACTACAAGGCAGCAGGAAGGTAGCGCATGGTTACCGGTGGCCCTCTAGGGGAGGGGGGAGCTCATACGCCATTGACAGTTCTTAGCTGAACAGGGGTGCATGCATCCCTGGTGAGTACGGACTCATTGCCTCGGCCGCTGAGTCGTGAAACCGACTTCGTCCATCCAACACGTACGTTAGACACCAACTCGCCTGGAGTTGAGCTCCCGGTTACCCTCAACCTGGTTTGACCTGCCTGTCGAGCGGTTTACTGGCGTGTGGCCGCTGTTGCATCCAAATAGCTTCTGGGAGCCTCAGGTGAGAGCTGAACACCCGATGGAGACCAAAGAACCGTGGATGCCCCAAAGGAGCGGACAGCCCTCCGAGTCAGAGGTGCTACTCCTACCAGGTACCCCATACACGCCTTGTTGTCACATGGTTTGAAGTGTGTAAGCAGATTGTCATTTATTTATTTTCTCTATTCATTTGTCTGCAGTGGAGGAATCGGCTACGGATGACACAGCTTTATGCGACCGTTCGCGTATCCAAGTCACGAATAAGAGAACGGCCACATTGGTTGTTAACAGAAAATAGGTGAGGACCATCCTACTGAATAATAATATATCACGGATGATTGGCAGCGATGGTCCAAGATGTTGGATTTCCGACTGGCAACCGATACCGCTGTTTTAAACCTACAAGCCTGTGTTGACAGCCTCGTGACGTCTTCCACCAAGTAAAGTAGCTGTCCCTTGCCCACTCACCCGAGTGGGACAAAGTTTGAGAGGGGCGTACTAGCTAAGCACTAACCACCGACCCTCAGACCTCACGGACACGTTGAGGATCCCGAACTGGCGCCGCGTCATTCGAAAGATGAACCGTCTTGATGGTCCCTGGCTACCAACACTCTTCTGCTTTGTCACACTGCGTTGTGCAAGGGTTATAGGTGCATCCCTGAACAAAAGCCAAATAACACTCGTGACGTCACTAAGTTGTTTCACAATGTTAAATCGTGTTCATGCTAAGGTGTTTTCAGGAAGCGACGCCCGCTGCTCCCTTCAGTGGCGGGCTGAGATATCTAGGAACCTTTTGATGACATATCTTTGTAGATCTGCTATTCAGTGATGGAAGCCAGCAACCTAAGCCCCTGGACTTAGAGTGGATACCCACATAAGGCCCCGCTAAGACGGGTAAGGTATTGAACCTCATCAATCTTAACCCCGGCTGCAGCATCAGTGTAGCTTGCTGAAACGTCAGGAAACTTCTTGACAAGGCGTTCGCTAAACAACTGCAAAGTAGACATCCGCTACCTGTCTGAAGTCCGATTGCCTAACTGTGGCATAAAGCACATCCATGTACCACATAATTGCGCAGCCTACCGGTAATAACACAGCAAACTTGTTTATTGTTTGAGAATGTCTCGGGTTACAGCTGGTCACGTCTCCTTTGCACCTCGCGAAATGCTCCTATAAGAACAAGCGTCTCAAATAGCTTCTACTGAAGAAACCCTACTCACTGTCTTCTCAAACCTTAGGTGTTCCCCACCCCACCCCTAGCGAAAGGATGAAAAGCCAATATCCGGGGCTATAACCGAGTCGGTGACCCACTACCATTTTACCTAGGAGAGTAGGCTGAAATCCCTGATTTCAAACCAGCCAAGAATAGGCGTACGAACCACACCCACTCACACTTCCTGGTTGTGGCTGTGGCCACCGGCCCATTTGGGCACTTTGGACGTTTGACCGTGTCCAAAGGATGTAGCATGAACTGGACATCAGCCTCCAGTGAATTGCGGTTTTCACACCGCCCCACTGCCTTGTGGGTCAGGTTTTGGCTAGCCGAAGGCTCCGGTTGTGAACTCTCTGGGAAAATTCACCTGCATTGACCTTGGCTACCTAGCAGTCTCGTGCCCTCGAGCAAATAGTGGACCTTTTTTTCTTTTTTATAAGGACTATTGTACCGTCCTTTCTTGCTTACAATAAAGTCAACCAAAACGGTCTTTGAAATGCCACTGTAACGGGAAAGAAGTTTAAGAGATATTGAAAAGAAAATAAAGTCTTTCTCCTTTACACCAGGAAAATATACGGGGTACAGTACAACCAATGTCGAGGAATGCATGCCGTCAAATTTAAGAATAACATTGAGGGGAGCGCCGAGCTTTTTATGCCTAAAAGCATAGAAGGATAGCCTACGAACCCTAATATAAATCATCATCATTGTACAGCGTAATACAGTAAAACGAACTTCACTGATCGCTGCCAAACTCACATTACATACAAGGTAAGTAATAATGTGTAAGGAGGATAGGGACTGGACCTATTTTTAGGGGCGGGAAAAAAGCAAACCTCTATGGTCAACACACAGAGCAAACTGCCCAACTGTACATACATACTATTTCAAGCATTCCGGTGTGATATGAAGTGACAGTATGATCGCCACTACTGTCGGTTCGCAGCCATGACCTTCAATGTTTCCAACCATGCGGTTACGGAATCTTTTGGACCCCAACCCAGAAGACGAGAAACACCTACTCTACCTAATCGCTCTGTGCATTTCTTCATGTCCCGTCTCCCA